TGCGGATTCGAACCGGCGACTCTCATATTGCGTGTCAAAGTGAGGATAAATATTTTAAATTTTAAGTAACTCAGTTTTTGGAGTCTTAACTTTCTTGTTTCAATACTTTTTGTAACATTAAAAATTTCTATGTTACACTAGCTAGCTAAGTTATGTATATATCGATCCCTACTTGTCTTTATAATATTTAAATCTTTTTATTATAGTTGTAACATTAAATTTATGTTTTAAAGTAACTATGAAATTTAAAAGTTGTTGAATTCCATCCGGGACAATTAAAATAAGTATACGAGCGCTAAACTCATAATCTCGCGATTCGAATGGACCCCATTGAGGGTAAGGGCACGGATAACTTAAAGTGTGTGAGGCAACAAAGGACGCAAAGATCATAGATGTTAATATGTATGCAATTACTGCAGGCTCTCGCTCTTCCGGAAGTTGCATGCACTTGGTGAATTTTGTATGTCGTTGGAATGCGTTCCAGCCCATATCCACTGCTGTCTAAATCATAGTGGATGAGTAACCCTAGGTCATAGAGAGTGGTAGTACTAGGCTACGAGAATACAGTATAGGGCAGGGATGGCGAACCAATGGCACACGAGAAAAATTTCTTGGCACGCGGAATTCACTGCTGTCCCAAGTTTTTTTTTTACCCGACCAATAGATATATATATCTGAAAACGTAGAGATTGTATATGTCTATAATTAATTATATAATGTAATGATTATATATGAAGTATTTATAATACATAAAATTAATAATAGTAACTAATTTTGCGGTTCAAAATTTCCATGGGCACGCGAAAGGATATTTTCGAAAATTATCGACAATTTGATGCACACGCTCTCAAAAAAGGTTCGCCAGCCCTGATACAGGGGCTCTTGTATGTACAAGCACTATTTTAAACATGGTTGCCGACTTTTAGGGATCTGTTTGGGTAAGACTTTTCTTTTAGGAGGGGGGGGGGTCTGGAGGCATGTATTTCATCCTTTTTATTAAATGAAGAAAAATGGTGCCTTCTGGTGCAAAGTTTCCGGATTAATCCAGCGGGTCAACCAACCACAATGCATTAGAGAAAAGGTGAGATTGTTTTATTTATTTTTATATACAATGATTGTGAGCATGAGAATAGGCCCAGATGCGTGAGTGTTGGTAACTCTGTACCAATTATCTCTCTTGAGTGGGCTCTAGACGTTTCCCCAGTATGAATACGTAGGCCTAGAGCCGCAACTGGTCATAGAATTCCGTATTTTAAACAACACACCTATAAATTCATTCCTCGTGCATTACTTTTGGATGAAAGATACAGAGATGCGAATTTACATGATTAACCTTTTGTAATTTTGATTTTCTACCTTATCTTTATCATACAAGTTACAATTTCTGAATTATTTTTTTATGTAATGATGTAACAATGTAGACCATCATGTAGATAAATGTTTTAAGTGATAATAAAATTTAGGAATAACACATCATTATCATTCCAGGTTAACAGCATAACATTTTTTTATTATTGCAGACTTGAGTTCATTCATTAGATGCTTTCATTAATGACAGTGACATATTATAGTCTGACGGCGAAGGTCACAGGTTCAAATCTCCATCACCAAGTATGTTTGCCATTTTAGCTGTGTGGGCATTATAATGTAATGGTCAATCCCACTATTCATTGGTAAAAGAGTAGCCCAAGAGTTGGTGTTGGGTGATGTTAACTAGCTACTGTCCTTCTAGTCTGTAACTGTTAAATTATGGTAGGGTAGCCCAGAAAGCCCATGAGTAGCTTTGCGCAAACTTTAAAACAAACAATCTTTAATAGTAGTAAGTGTATATTGTGAAGTTAAGCTAGAAATATTATTTTAGTGATGTAAAATAGTGTATAATTATAAACTCTAAGAACCACGCTACGTGGGTACCACATCTAGTACCGATGAAGCCTTTTTCCCAAATACCGAGGCTCATCATCTGGCTGGGATATGACACTGACAGCTCATCATCTGGCTGGAATATGACACTGACAGACATACGGTAGTGTTCTAGATGTCAGACAAATAGTGCCGTTTAACAGTAATTTACTAGAACTTGGCAAATGTCAAGATTTTTTAAAGGATTTATAGTTGTTGCAGTTAAACATCTAGAGAGCTGTATTTGTGTATGGAAGCACATTACAGAAGGAGACTTGTATATATATAAGATACAATGATATAATTAGTAGTGTGTGGTAAAGTATTTATTGGACAAACTGTACGATCTCTTAAAACTGAACGAAAAGAACACCAAAGCCACTTGCGTAGAAGAAATTTTGAAAAATCCGCCTTAACATGTCATCAATTTGAAACTGATCATTGGATTATTTGGGGGGAAAAAATGATCCTCTTACACCAACCAAAACATGAAATATTCTTGAAAGAATTTAAATTATGAAAATGTGTTTTATCTTTTAAACCGAGACAATGGCCTTAGTAACATTAACAAAATAAGCCCAAATTTATTCAGTTAGCTCTGACCTTCCTTTCGGTAACAACTGTGTAACAATATTTGTTGTCACATGATAACATCCTGTTGTTACAACCTGTTACCCACAACCCCTTGATACATTTTGTTCTGTATATAAACCTCTTTGTTTGGATTAGTATATATATATATATATATACACAAGTCTAGAGAATTGAGCCCTGTATACTCTCAAGCTAACTTGTTAACACTACGCTCGCTGCAAGGAGATGCCATCTTCGTATGATAACAAGGTGTGGTTTATAAAGATATCCAGCCTCATGTGTCCAAGTCAACATGCCAGCTCTTCTGTAGGGTACAAGCACAAACAAAAATTGATGCTAAACCATTCAAAGATATACCAGTTAAAATAATATATCAGCGGGTGCCTCTCCCATAGATTTGTGCCTTTAGGTTTCTCAAATAAATCATTGTCCATCTATGATGTATGGATTATGAACAGCGTGTAGGGAGGAGTAGACAGTATTGACCTCAGTGACTAGTGTAAAATACTCATGTTATGGGTCTGCTGGTGCAGAGAAACAGTCCGCAACCAGGACCATCAAGTAAAATGTAATTAGTGTGGAATCATCCTTCTATGATTGCCACAGACCATGAATACCTTTCTGCATATGTGCCTACTTTGTGAGCAGAAGCTGTTAACATAAAATCATTAAACATTAAGAAAAGCTGTTTTTTTTTGTTTTTTTTCCCATTAAAACTGTAGAAACCTTGAAATTATGCATGAAATGTTTCTATACATATATTTAAAAAATAAGTTGATTTGGTTTGTGATATGAAAAAAAAAAACAGTAAAACTGCTCAGTGGTTTTTGCATAATAGCAAAACAAGTGTAAGAAGACTGTTACAGATGGATTTAAAAAATCGTATAATCCATATCAGAATAATTGAACATCAGTTTCAAAGTAACCGTTGAAGTGTTAACATTGAAACTTAACTTCGACCTGATAAATCTGTGGCTAACATTTTTCCTCTGTTTTGTTATTTTCCATGTTTTGTATGTACTTCCTTTTATAAATATACTGCACAACAATGTTGGGAAGTGTTTTTCTTTTAAGTGATTTGTTTATTGATGTCAATAGAATTTGAACCAAATTTTACAACTAGATTAAATTGTTCTTTCATTCAAATATGAAAAAAATATAATAATAATAATAATTACTAGAATAACACTTCTATCAAGTCAGTCTTCAAACATTAAATAATAATAATTACTAGAATAACACTTCTATCAAGTCAGTCTTCAAACATTAAATAATAATTTCTAGAATAACACTTCTATCAAGTCAGTCTTCAAACAATAAATAATAATAATTACTAGAATAACACTTCTATCAAGTCAGTATTATTATAACAGTGTCGTTGCCTCTGTGCAGGTATAATGTCAATACTTACCGAAACCCATCAGAATCAGTTTTAAATAAGTAGCTTAAGATTTGAGGGTGGATGTTGTTTAAGAGTTTTCTAGTCAATTTAAAAATTAAAACATAGTAAGAAAACATTTTCAAAGAAAGGTTAAAATGTCTGTGGAATTTTATGACTAAACAATTAGTTTTATTTTACTATAGCTACTGAAGTACGAGCTTCTGAACAATCAAAGGGTGGTATGAAGTACGAGTTGGTGCTCGCTGATCCATCAGATGTGGCTCCTCCTCGTTTTGCTTCCACCCCACCTAAATCTAACATCTCTGTAGAAGACATAGAAAACAAGTTAAGGGCTGCAGAGGAAAGGAGACAAGTTAGTGTTTCATAGTATTGGTCGGGATTATAATTGACATTTTAAACTGTCTGTAAAGAAACTGTTAAATAACATTATAACTTCTGTAAGAGCGTAATGTTTGATGTGCTTGTCATTTTATTTTTAAACCGTCACTGATCATTAATTTGAACCATTAACTGGCAAGCCCAGAAAATATCTTTGATGATAAAACTAGTATTAGAAAAAAAACTATCTGCGAAGGCATTAAAGAAACAAGTCTGTAAGCTTTATTTCACTTAACTTGCAAGTAGAAACTTTGAATTAATGCTAGGAATCATTAAAACTTTATTAAATGATAGTTTTTGTACATTACGGCATTTTAAAAATAATTAACTTGACATCGACTTGTGTAGTAAAGGTTCTTATCTTGCTATTATCAAATTCAGAGAAATGTGTTTGCAGATGGATGTTAAGCTACCTTTATATATGTCATTGAAAACATATGTATACTATATATATATGTATTTGTTTCTTTATAATAACTTTCATTTAGTGTCTAATATTAGAATTCTTAATTGTGAGAGGGATAATGATACTTATAAGAAAAAATAATAATTTTAATTTAGTATTTAGAAGCCCACAAGCTGAACCAATTGAATGAGAAGCGTTTCAGGGAACAAGAGGCTTTACTCAAGAAACGGGAATATAATGCTAACTTCGTACAATCTGCTAAGGAAAACCTTGAGCAAAAGATGGAGTCCAACAAAGAAAACAGAGAGGCATTCATAAAGTCTATTCAGGAGAAGTCTCGTGAGCAAGTAAGGATTTCTTTCTTGTAAATAGATGCTACAAAGTATGTTAAACTTTAAGCTGACACACTAATATTACAATTGTAAAAATTCG